TGGCAAATCTTACTCTACATAGCAGGGTACCTATTGGAAAGGGATTTATTTCTCTTTTTATCCATTTAGCAATATCTTTGCCATCTTTTTTGGCAGGGTGGGGCAAGGCAGGATACAGGGTTTTGGTCATTCAACCCCTAGAAATGAAAGCCTAGAGGCCAAACCATTTTAGGTTGGAGACAGTCACCAAGATTGAGGCTTGATTTACACAAATGTAGTCAGGCATCCACCACCAGCCCCAGATCTTAAATAAAACTGAAGCAATCCTCTGTCTGAATGTAGATACTGGGTCCTGGTATGTTATGGTTTCAGTTTAGCAATATGAGTGGAGGTAGTTTAATGATGACTTGAATAGGAGAAGAAATGGTTTTCTGAAAAGAGAAAATTATGTTAGATTGTCCTGGACAGAGGATTATTTAAAATGGATTAAGCAATACTTTGAGGAATATACGGAACCACCTGTGATAGGCCAAGTTCCTTCATTTAATCTTCTAGTTTTGCAGCTGTATCTTTCATAATAGTCAACCAATCTATTAAATTATTAAAAAAAATCTTTTCTTTTTCATAGTAGCATCTTCACTTTTTTATGACTCCCTCTCCCATCCCCTCACCCCGGTCCCCCTGTGTCTGGTTTCCAGGATCCTCTCTGTCTCTTTGAGGATATTTTATATGCTTACTTTCAAATCTTGTGTGTGTTCTATTAATTCTGCTTTCATAAATGTTATACATAATTTGCTTGTAATGATTATGCGCCTAAGATGCCACATTGCTCTTCTTTTTGAGTTCATATTTCCCAGAGCATATTCGCTCCCTTAGACAGTGATGTGTGAGGGGACCCCCTTGATGAGTTTACCTGCTAGGGTGGTAGTAGTTGTTTATTTTTCTCTAGGAGAGCTTTTTTAGGAAAGCCCTTGGGATATGGAGGAGGACAAAGTAGGAGGATGGGAGGAGGAAATGCTTAGGGGTGGAGAGATTTGCTTATTCATGTTGTTAATACTTGACTTCACAGGCCAGCTAGAGCTGCGCCCTAATCACACTCCAGCACCTCCCCAGCAGGCACTGGACTGGCTCCTGCTTTCTTGACTTATGGTGGTGTTGGGTAGGGCAATAATCTGCCTGGAGAAAAGGAGGCAAGAGAAAAAGGCACACAAAAATCCTTCTCTGCCCTCTGTACTGTGTCCTTGAGTCTCAAGGGTTGTCTGAGTTCTAATGGAAGAAGCTGGGAAGATGGGAGATTGTGAGAGATAGGAGAGTGGTTGCTATTAGATGACTCAGTGGTGTGGCTAGACCTCTGGTGCAGCAAGGAACAAGGAAGTGCATATTCGTGCAACACACACCACTACTTCCTGGTTTTTGTTATCAGTAAATTGGTTTTTGAAAGGACTCCCTCCCCTATTTCTCTGTTTCAGTATCCTTACCCTTCTGTGTAATCCATCCTGCCTGGAATGAAAAAACAATTCCAGAAACCTTTCCTTGGACCCTTACCTTCATTGTCCCATGGTCCACAGGGGGTTATGTAATTACTAGTGGATCTTTTGTGTTTCATCATCTGTGTTCCTGTCTGATGAGTAATCCATTTTATTTCTGAGGCAGCTGATGTGGCATTTGTATCAACAGGCAGTTATAAAAACCAAGCATCTGTAAATCCTTCTGATAAATATTTGTGAAGTTTCAAAATCCTCAGGTCTGATCAGTCTAAGTCAGTCTGCAAGACTGTCTCCTAGAAAAGCCATCTGGAGACACAGTAGTACTTTCTAGCCATGGGAACTTCCCCGTGGGGGTGAGGGGTAGGGAACTCAAAAGAATCTTCAGCAAAGATAAATTAACCTTCCAAGAAGGCATAGAGTTTCAGACAGTGATAGTAAACTTGATGGAGATCAGACAATAAAAGCCTCATTTTTGGGAGTGGGAGAGTTGGGGGATCAAAAGTCTGGTTTAGGGATGCCTGGGTGGCTCAGTCGGTTAAGCATCTGCCTTTAGCTCAGGTCATGATCCCAGGGGCCTGGGATCAAGTCCTGCATCAGGCTCCCTGCTCACCGGGGAGTCTCCTTCTCCCTCTGCTACTCCCCCTGCTTATGCTCTCTGTCTCTCTCTCTCTCTCTGACAAATAAATAAATAAAATATTGAAAAAAAAAAAAAGTCTGGTGTAAGTCCCACTCAACAAGTCCTGAAGAGAAGTCCCTGAGGTTTGCTCTCCCATTCTCATAGAACAGAGGCAAAACTCTATATAAAGTATTATTATGAGGAGGAAAAATTTAAATGAAGGTTATATAAATTTAAAACCATAAATATGCAAAATATACCTTAAAATAACTATCACTTTTGGAATATTCTCCTGAGTTTTGAACATGGACAAGAATATCCCCCTTTTTTATTCAATCTCTCTCTAAAACTAGCTGACTTATTATCTAAAAAGAAAATATAGTAGAAAGTAAAATTCTGACTGGATCAACGAAATGGTCAGGACTCAGTAATATAAGATTAGAAAATAGCTTTATTTTTTTCCTACCATTTTTGAAAACTTCTCTGTCAGATATTCCTTCCTCATGCCTAGATGATATTTTCTGGTCACTTTCAGTTTCATTTTTCAGGTATTAAAAGAGCAGTCTGATCTAAACTGAACTTGTCATATCCACTTTAGAGCTTTTCCCTTTCCCTTGGGCCTGACCCAGAACGTTGGGAAGGGGTGTGTTGACTCTTCTCTCTTTTTTGCTTCATATCTTCCTGACTTGCCATTCTTTGCTGTTGGATCCTTCAGAGTTGGATGGGACAGAGGAGTAAGACATGTGGGGCAAAAAAAAAAAAAAAAAAAAAATAGAGAGTCTTTATTTAGCTGGTACTGTTGGGAGACCTTACTCAGGGGTCATGTGCTCTCTGGCATGGCAGGCTCCTAATGCTGGCTCTTTCTTTAATAGGGCACCATTGTGGTGTTTTTATCATCAGCACCCTGCCCCTCCCCCATCTCTGACACTGTGCAGTCTCTTGCTGTGAGAGATGTTCTCTCTGGCTAACCCATTTCATCTTGTTCTCTTTGCCTGATCTGGTACCCACTATTCCACAGCTTTACTCGTACTGGGGTCACTCAGATGTGGCAAGTGACAGGTAGTCTTGGGCAAAGCTCCTCAAGGTTATTCAATCCAGTGGACTCCTACAAGCTTCGAACTCTGGTAATCCAGCCTCTCCTCCTCCAAAAACTTTATTACCCTTTCCATTAGTAGTATCCTGAAACAGGAGCACAAGTTTCTACAGTGTAGGAAGTAGGGAGGGTAGCAGGGGTGTGTGTATGTGAACTCAGCAGTCTCCCCTATCCAGTCAAATCCCATAAAAGGTACAATTTATGTGAGTGGAACAAAGCATACACAAACAAATGGGAGACATTCACATTGTTTTAGTACAGTATTAAGCCCAAACTGTAACATGAAGTTTTTATTGAACAAATATGGATGGGATGGGAGTGTGGGAAATCAAGTTGACTAAACATTTGATGAAGATTAGTTGTGGAGACAAATGGATGCACTTAAAACTCAACTGAAACTACAGTAAGGTCTGCCTTCTATGCACGACTATAATGAAGACTACTGCTCATCCGTCTGAATCTATACAGGCATTCCTGATTAGGTCAATGCAAGTGCAGTTACAAGAATTGAGAATGTTTTTCTCTGAAAGTGCCTGTAGATGTCACTAAAACAAATGATTCTTTTATCCTTGATTTGATAGTGGGGTGCAAAAAAGCCCACAAAAACAGTAAAAAAGTAAAAAAACCCGCTATTTTGTAAAGACCATCTGTACTGTTACATTAACGTACATCGTACAACCACTACGGTGCACAGTAAGTTTGCAGATTTTTCTCCCATTTTACAGTTGTGATTTATCTTCAACGAAAGTATACTCAGCAATACTCTTTAGTTTATAGCAGGGAGGGAAAATTCCCTCCTCCATTCTCTCATCACCCCACAGACACCTCTTTCAGGGCTAGAGGCACATCTTTTCTCCTTTACCATAAGAGACCCTGTCCTCAAGCTAAGAATATTGATGCCTTGTGAAAGAAAAAAAAAAAAAAATCATACAGGCATTGACTCTGAAAGAACAAAAGTGGAGAAAACATTTTGAAATGTGCTCGGGGCAGCATTCAATTCTAAAAGCATTATTTATTTATTTATTTTCCTGCACTGGTTTTAAAGACAACTATAAATTTAAGTCATGTAAAAATTTTGATCCCTCTCCTTTTAGCCAAGGAAACTCAGTGCAAAATGATGAATTAGGAGCTCATCTTTGAATAGCCAGGGAGAGTATTTAATAACATGATTTAATAACATTACCCAGGAAGCATGTGGCACCTCTACTTTCATACAGTGGACAGTATGCTTTCACCTGGGACCATATTCTGCATGTCATTCTTCTCATCAAGAGGCTATCAGTTTTATCACAGGATGGCCAAGAATGAGACCTGATGAAAGAAGAATGCTCAAAGAAGAGGAGTTGACAAGCTTCGGGGCCATGTTAATAGAGTGTGACCAGCCTTTCTTATATTAGCAAGAATTTTGTAGGACCCCCCGCCCCCGGAAAAAGAATCCTCTTTAGAAAATCATGGTACTTAAAATGAAATCCAAGCAAGTATAAAGTAGACATGGAGAATAAGTCCTCTGAAAATAAGTCATGTGTTAATGAAAAATAGCTCAGGGCAGGAGAGACATAAAACACTGAAAGTTATCAGTAGGACCTAGAAGAAAAAAAAGTCCAGACAGAACAGAGACTACTCTTGTCATTATTCTAGAATAAGTATTATTACCCATTCCATGTGGGGAAGAATTGAAGATTGAAAATTGTATATTTCTTATATGTTGTGATGAATAAGCATACGCAAATGGTAAAACATATGTTTCCAAGTAATATATTCAGAGTCTAATTCTAAATAAGGATTTAAGCTTTTTTTACTGATTCTATTTTTGTCCTCAGAAAGTCCTATGCTAAAGAACTCTTTCTGGTATACTTACTTATAGATATTTGAAGAGAATGGACCTACTGGCAGAGCCTCATCATGATCCTCGTGTTCAGATTGGAGAAAAAAACAAGTAAACATTTTCATTTGCAAAATTCTGTCTTAATGAGATTTATGCTTATAATTATTTTCTCTTTGGTAATACTACAAAAAATTACCCCATTTATTCGATATAGTGAAATATAAAAAATACATGTTAGAGGTTTCTCCAAAAGTTAAACATAGAATTATCACATGGCCCCACAAGTCTACTGCTAGGTATATATCCAAGAAAAGATGGATCCACAAAAAAAGTTACACGTGGGTGTTTATAGCAGCATTATTCATAATAATCAAAAAGTAGAAACAACCCAAATGTCCATCAATTGATGAATGGATAAAATGTGGTATATCCATACAATGAAATATTATTTGACAATATAAAGGAATATAGTACTCATACCTGCTATAAGATGGGTGAGCCTTGAAAACATTATAGTAAGTGAAATAAGCCATTCAAAAAAGACAACTATTGAATGATTGCATTTAGATGAAATGTTCACAATAGGCAGGTCTATAGAGATAGAAAGTAGATTAGTAGTTGCCAGGGGTGGGGGTAGGGAGGAGTATGTGGGTATCTAGGAAGTGTCTGCTTGTAGGAATAGGGGCTACTTTTGGGAGTAATGAAAATGTTTTGGAGTTAGCAATGACTGCACAACTATGCGAATATACTAAAAAAGAAATCTCTGAATTGTACACTTCAGCAGGGTAAATTTTATGATATGTGAATTATATCTTCATTTGAGACACAGAGAGAGAGATGGATTGTTTGCTGGGCATCATGAAATCAGTTTGAGGTTCCTTAATTAATGCTCCCAGGAAGGGAAAGTTTCTCATTTGCTCAACTCACGAGTAAAATGATAATTGATAAGATTCTACCTCTCCTATTTTCTTGCAGGGGTAGAAAAAATGTCTGGGAGACATACAGTATATTTGGGTAGAAAGAGGGATGTAGTCTTTAGTCACTCTGAAGAGGACCATTTTTCCCAGTACAGGCTAATCCATAAATACAAATGAGTCACTGCCCAAAGTAGAGAAGAGTCTCATTAAATTTGGGGGATGGAGGGAATCCCAAAATAGACAGTGGACTCATACTAAACAATAACACAACTCCAAGGTTGTATATGTAAATGCATAGAAATCATATGGGAGACCAATGAAATAATTGTTTCTGTTTTTGTTCCTTCTGGGCAGAATACAAAATACCCCAAAATGTCTTGATAAATCACTCTTAAAAACCACAAGTATTTTAAGGACAATAACATTTTAGTAAAAATCAAGTTTAAGTGGTCTGTGCAGTAAACTCTTCCAAACAATATGAAGAAATTACATTCAGGTCAAGACAATCCTCTTCATTACATATTACACTCCAGTGGCTTTGGGTAAAAATGTGCTTCTGAAAATCCAGTGGATTTTTATAAGTAGCAAAGCCCAAAATATGCTCCTAACTATACCATGTGATGTTTAATCTAGACTGATATTCTGAAGTATTTTCATATAGACCTGGAACTTCCTTTGCTATTGCTCCTCAGGCTCTGGATGGAGTCACATGATTTGGCTTTTAGGCATCAGGAGCCACTGAATTAGTAACTATACCGTGATGATACTTATTTTCATGTTTCTTTCACTTAGTATTTTTTAAAAGTACACTTAAAGGGTGCTTAAGCATTTTTTTTTCCCTTCAGGAACAAAATGATAAATTCAATAACAAAATTTTTACATAATTAGTTGTGCCAAAATTCATTTAAAAATATTAACTGAGTTATCATCCTTCCTGTTTCCCAAGGACTTAAAGTAGCTGCAAGTTATTTCACTGTGCTAATATCAAAAGATAAAACAAAAGTCATACAACAAATAAAGGCATAAAAAATAAATACATAAATGCATATATATGCAAAGAAATGAAATAGAAAAGAAATATTAAATTTTTAATCCAGTAATGAATGATTTTGATAAATGTTTATCAGACATGTAAGTTTTTTTTCCATTTTTATTTAACACTGAACAATACTTCTGGTTTAAGGTGGTAGATTTAGCACAAGCATGTCTATTCCCTTACCTCCTGAAATCCCAATATATGATAGCGTAGAAATCAACTCATAAAATGGAAAGAGTGGGAGGAGAAAAATTATTGAAAAAGATTCCAGTAAATTTCTTTTATTTATTTATTTATTTATTTGACAGAGAGAGAGCACAAGCAGGGGGAGTGAGGGGGGGAGAGGGAGAAGCAGGCTCCTGCTGAGCAGGAAGCCTGATGTGGGGCCCATCCCAGGACCCTGGGATCATGACCTGAGCTGAAGGCAGACGCTTAACTAACTAAGCCACCCAGGTGCCAGTAAATTTCTAGAAGACTCAAGGAAGATAAAACCCTGTCGACAGATTTTTTAAAAATAAATCATTGCAGCCCAGAACACACAAGAGGGAATGCCATACTAAAGGGAAGGCTGAACTATATAGCAGAGCTAACAGAGATGATCCTGGCCCAGGAGCGATAAAAACACAAATGAGAAGGAAAGCCAAATTGGGAGATTAACTGAAAGGCTGACCATTGAATGAAGAGTAGGATTGCAACACTCCTTCTTCTCCGCCCTTTCTCATCCCAAGATGGGTTGAGCTCAGGCATTTCTTTTTTTTTTTTTTTTTTTTTTTTTTAGATTTTATTTATTTGCGAGAGAGAGAATGAGAGACAGAGAGCATGAGGGGGAGGAGGGTCAGAGGGAGAAGCAGACTCCCTGCTGAGCGGGGAGCCCGATGTGGGACTCGATCCCGGGACTCCAGGATCATGACCTGAGCCGAAGGCAGTGGCTTAACCGACTGAGCCACCCAGGCGCCCGAGCTCAGGCATTTCTAAGCAGCCTAATATATAACTTGAAGGCAAAAACAAAGACAAAACAGTAACAATAAAGCAACCCTAAAGCCATTTCTCTAAAGAAATCAAATGAACTACAAGTATAAAATTAAATCTTCCAGTATAAAACCCTCCTCATTGCATTTGGAGGCTCTATCCTCGCCCCAGCCTAAATGCCTTCTCCATTACTGCCCATCCTAATATGAAGCCTGCCAGTAGACTAGTTCTGCCTATATGCACTGAGCTTTGAGCCAGGCATCATCATTGTGTGAGAGACCTAGCCATAAAATTAAATATACAAACAACAACCTAGGAGACTCATAGTTTTTATCTTAGAAATTCAACCCTCCAATGTTTTTCTTTATAAAACATCAGCCAGAGATCATAAAAAATTATGAATAAAACCAGCAAAATGAAAGAACAACTCAAACAAAAACATTTGCTTTAGAAGAAACACAGATTATTAGGGAAAAAGAACTTTAAAAGCTAATTGTCGTCCTGAAAATTTCAGAGGATGTTGCATCTAGAAGTAAGGAAACTATAAAACAAGGAACAATGGAAAACAAAAATGAATTATTTTTTTGAAGATATGCCTGCAAAAATTCAATAGTTATGAAGATGAAATTAAGAAAATCAGAAAAAGAGAAGAAAGATCTTAAAAATGGTAAGAATGAGAAAAAAGAACATGGATGATCAAGGCAGGAAGCCTGACATCGACCCAGTAGGATTTCTGAGGGGAGAGGAGGGGATGGAGAAAAATGGAGGGGAGGGTAGCAATGAAAACAAATCAAAGAGAACTTTTCAGTACTTAAACACAAGAATTCTTTAGATTATAAATACCCAATGAATTTCCAGGATGATACAAAAAAAAAAAAAAAAAAAATCCATACCTGAATTTTCAGAACACAAGGAATTAAAAAAAAAGCTTAAAAGTTGGGATGCAGAGGACATGTCATATTTATGATTCATGAAAATGAATCACATTGACGTCAGACATCTCACCAACACTTGGTCCTAGATGCCGTGAAACAATGCCTCTGGAGTTCTGAGGAAAAATTCTAGGCTAGTCACAGTGGCAATTGAGTGTGATGGTAAAATAGAGCTATTTTCAGACTTTCAGAAACTTCTAAGGAGGTTACTTTTGAACTTTGCCAAATTTATAAACTTTTATGAACTTTTCTATGGAGGTTACTTGAAGATTTGCTCCAGCAAAACAAGGATGGAAACTAAGCCAAGGAAAGACACCAGGTGGGTGTGGGGGGTGAGGAAGGACTGAAGAATTAACCAGGAATAATTTGAAAACAAATCCTGGTACATCAGTTATATGGACAATCTAAAAAGCTATTGGTCCCAGTTGCAGTCAGGCAGAGTCATGACAGACTGGCAAGCCTGTTATCAGAGTAAATGCCTAGGGTGAGAGGAAAGATACAGAAAGAACTAAGGACAATAGCAAGAAACAAGGCTGCAGAGTTGTAGGACATAAGTTAAATTCGTTCAGATTGTGTAAATCTAAGAGTGAATGCAGGCTAAATATAAGAAATGAAAATTATTGACAGGTAAAGACAATGTGTTAATACGAATTCGACTTGAAAGCATATGACAGCAAAAATCCAAAATTAACTGTGGCTTAAAAAGAGGTTTTTGTTTTCTTCTACAAACCAAGTCCAGTAGTCAGAGTCCTACTAAAGAATTTCCATGGATTCATCAAAGCCCCAGATTCCATACAACCTTTTTCTCTGCTCTATTGAGAATATGACCCTTGCCAGTACTGTGTCCATTCCACCAGGCAGGAAGGATAAAGATGGAGATGAAGTGCATAGCCCTTCCTTGGTGGAGATTGCTCATACTGTTTCTGTGTATCTCATTGACTAAAACTTGGTCACATGACTATACCTAAGGGCAATTGGTGGGGGGTATACATGCTAATATTTGGGGAGGCTGGGGGAGGCTATTTTTGAAGGAAGAATGGAGAACAGATAATTGGGGACTATAGAGAGCCTTTTCCATAGACCGCAAGGAAAAATCCTTATAGGCCTTACTGGCCATAGTTTATTACCCACTACATTTCCTTCAAAACTTCTATCGTATTTGGACACAAATTCTAATTTGAAGGTATACACGTACCCTGATGTTTATAGCAGCATTATCTACAATAGCCAAATTATGGAAAGAGCCCAAATGTCCATCAACTGATGAATGGATAAAGAAGATGTGTGTGTGTGTGTGTGTGTGTATACAT